GCAGGAATTCTGAAAAACTTTGGTAGGTTCTGACCCAGCTTTCATTTACACGGGGGTCAGTCTGGAGTAACTCCGTTTAAATGAATGGGGTCAAGACAGTTTAAAAAGAGGAATAACTAGTGAAAGAAAATCAGGACAGCTAACACTATCTGACCTTTAAAGCCATTTCTGCTTGTTTGATGTACTTGTGAATTATATTTCCCTGCGAAGTGTGGTCATACAACATGGGTAAAATCCTGACCCCAAGGACAGCAATGCTAATGAGTTCTGTGGAATCATCTACTTAGAATGGAAATCCCCCTGGCTCTCATAATTCTACTGTCAAATTCTGCCCTGACAGAAAATGCCACAATTCCTAGTGACTTTCCTTAGAATTATGCTTAAGTTTGAATGTCTCCATTATCTTTGGTCTTTTTTTTCTTAGGAGAAACTTGCTTATCAATATTTCAGATTTCTCTTTGAGAAGAGTATTTTTTTGTACCTGTAGTCTATAGTTTTAATGCATTAATAAATCAAAGAAGCAATCCTAGGTTTTCAGGCTGTAATAAATAAACTACACATATCACAAGCTTGCTTCTCCATTCCTTACATATGGCAAAAAATCCAGTAAATCTCTGAGAGGTTGGTCCATTAAAGTGTGCAGGATTTTATGTAGGTAAGAGGATTTGTAAAGTATAATGCTAACTAAATTGTATATGCTTTCCTAATACCAGAGAATATTCGCTTGATGTGACATACTGATTCTGTTCTGCTATGTTTAGAATTAATGATGATAGTATATTCATTTTAATAACCAGTATCACAAATATGTATCTTTAGGTAGGAGGTAGTGGCACCTAAGGGAAACTTAATGTGACCTGAGGTTTACAATAGACTGACAGTTCAAGCTGATTTATATAAATTCGCATAGCATGATTCCAGGAAAATAAGGATTTGATTTTCCTTTCCTATGTTTGTACAGTCATTTATTCAAATGCAAATTTGGTGTAACATGCTACTTAACCAGAATGGTAGCATTTCCCTTCAACTCTGCATGAGTGTAAATGGCTTCACAGGAGCAGGGCAAAGAAGACTCAAGCCCCAAGCATATATTGTTAAACATTGTTAAGAATACTAGCTACCACTACTTTGCCCAAAATGCCAAAGATACTTAACACATGATGACAATTTATAAGGCCAAATTCTTTTACTCTCTTTGGTGTATCTCTAAGAATTCAGCTATCAAGATACTGACTACTGCAGAGATAGCTTCTTTTCTTTAACTGAGATGCATGTTGTTTTTACTTATTTCACAGTTGATTAATTTTATGCATGTTTATGAATTTTAATTAAAGAATTTGAGTAAAATCAAAGTTAACATGCTTATGGTGACACATCCTCTGAAAAATGCCCTGAAACAGCTGATCTTTGGAAATATTCATTAACTCTATCAATAAAAATGGCAGTTTTGCTCTGCAATTTAGAAGTTCATGCATTTCAGATCAGACCTTATTATTAACAGCCCTAACCGGCACTGAAATCTAAAGCAATTGCTGTTGTTCAGCACCTCATAGTAGGTGTCCAGTACCTTACCAGATCATGCTTACAATTGTTAACTTTACCCATGATAAAAAAACTTTCTATGATTACAATCAGCCTCTTTATCTTTGCATTACTATAATTACCACAGAACATATCTGTTACACAGGCAAAATATCTAGTAAATCTATCGGAATTTTTCCAATGCAAAGAATGCAGGATTTTATACAATTAAGCTGACGAAGGAAAACTGTCAGTTGTAAACTGTAATGCTAAATAAATTGTATTACATTATTAATATAACAGAATATTCACTTAAAGAAACTTGCTTATCCTTATCTGATATGTTTAGAATTAACGACAATAGTGTTATCATTTTAATAGGCAGCATTACAAATATTTACCTTTAGCTGAGAGGTATTGGGTACTAAAGGAAACTTGATTGTGAATTAAGATTTAAAATAGACTGACAGTTCTAGCTGATTTGCATAAAAGTGCATAGTATGATTTGGGAAAATAAGGATCTGATTTTTGTTTGTACTGTACTTGTGTAGTCTTTTATAACAGTGCAAATTAGGTGTAGCATGTTACCTAATTGGAATGGTAGCATTTCTCATCAACTTTGCATGAGTGTAAATGGGTTTACACGAGCAGGGCAAAAAAGACTCAGGCCCCAAGAATATATTGTTAAACACTGTTAAGAATACTTGCAACCACCAGTTTGCTCCCACTATCAGAGTACTTCACACATGACAGTCATCTGTAGACACAAATTCTTTCACTCTCACAGTGGGAAGAAGAAAAATTCAGCTATGAAGATACTGACTACTCCAGAGGTTGCTTCTTTTGTTTTAACTGAGAAGCATGACATTGTTATTTATTTCACCATTGTTTAATTTTAATCACATTTATTAAATGTAGGTAAAGAATCAGAGTAATATAAAAACTAATACTAATTTTAGTAACTGGACTAAGGACCAACATCCTTAAGGCTGCACATCCTTTGTAAAATGACATTCCATAGCCAATCTTTAGACATATTCATTAACTTGAAAAAAAATCGACTTTCTATCTATCAAGTTTGGGCTGGGATATCAAAATTGATGTTTTCAAGGTCAGATCCTGCAAGGTGCTGACAACCCTTGACTACCATTGAAGTCTGCAGGAATTGATGGTTTCTAGCACCTCACCGTAAATGCCCAGTACTTCACAAAATTAACTCACAATTGTTGACCTTACCTATGATAAAAAAGCTTTCCTATGATCACATAAGCCTCTTCATCCTTGCATTACTGTAATTATCACAGAACTTACTTGTAACGATGAGCTTGGTGCCAGAGCCAAATACTTTGATGTAAACACCACTAGAAGTATCACTGTGAACACATCCTTTGCAAAAATAGAGAGCCAGTATCTTTTTGTTGATGAACTGACAAAAACTGGTTGTTTTAAAATAAATCAGTTTTGCTTTTTAAATTGCTTCTAGACATTACAATAAAATTGCAAATAAGACAGTATGCATAAAATAACGAGAAAACTTTGGGAAGATATTTCCAAAGGCATAAAAGGTATTTATCTATCACTGAGTTTCATTGGATATCAGGCACATAAATGCCACTGATAAAATTTCCACATGATATAATGTGGGAATAGAAACATGCTTGAAATGCCTTCTTTATTAGGAAAGAAAACACAACTGCAGCAATTTATTGTTACTATAAATATACTCCTTAATGATTTCTAAGGGCTACATGCTGCAAATGCTGAGCAAACTCAACTCCCCTTTAAATTAATGAACATTGAAGGAGCTCAACACCTCTCAGGCCTGGGTGCTAAATATGCAATTTAGTATGAAAACACAAATTCTACATTTCACCTTTACTGCTAGCAATAGGGTTAGTTCAGTTTCTGAATAGTTTTCCATAATCTTCTCACAGTCTTCCCAGGCTAAACAAGATCTCCAAACATTTTACATTGTTCTCAATGAAGTGTAACTGGCTCTTTCTGAATTAGAGGGACTAGAATTTGGTGAAATCCTTTTGCCATTAACTTCAATGGAATCATTTAATTTGTGAATAGCTTGTTGTTGTCCTAGATAAAAAGCATAATAAATGCAGAGAGTAAACGTTAGCTTTGAAAACATTGTGAGAAACTTACTTGCAACCACCAGTTTGGTGCCTGAGCCAAAGTACTTTATTCCATACTCACAGCACTGTCATCTTCTACAAAAACTAACGAATCAGCAAGGTTTGAACTTCACTGATTTCAAATTCTGAAGTTCATATTTTAAATAGAAGGTCCACAATCTAAACTTGCTATCACCCATGCCATTATGTGAGTATTAATCTGAGTTAATGCACTTTGTAAATTCTTGTGCCTTTTTGCTACCAAAATGGTTTCTGCTCCTTGATGTACATAACTGTATGGCAAATTGATTGGGGTGAAGTGCTGGTCACTAAGCAGTTCCATTAATTTCAGTGGTTGAGCAGGATTTAGTCTGATGATCTCAAATGTGTCTGGACTCGGAAGGATCATCCAGTGGTCAAAGCATTTGGACTGAACTTCAAGAGATTTGGCTTTTGTTTCTGGCTCTGCCTATGTGACCTGAACAAAACGCAATTTCTGGACTTCTCTTTACAATTTGATGCTCTCTTAATGTCTGGTGTTTATAAAATATATGACTTACAAAGTTAGAATAATAGAAAATTAGGGTTGGAAGAGACCTCAGGAGGTCATCAAGTCCAACCATCTGCTTGAAGCAGGACCAACCCCAACTAAATCATCCCAAACAGGGCTTTGTTCCTCAGCAATGTATTTTAAATATGTTTATATTTACAGAACATTGTTAACCCAGACTTATATTATCGATTGGACTGTTTCTGGAGCTTAAATAGTAGATAGGGAATATTATCCGTAAGAGGAAAAAATAATTTCATAAAACCAGTTACTGACACTCTGAAGACATTGTTTCATCTCAGACAATTTTCCTCCATTAGTCATCAAACACTGACATAGCCCTACCAATAAAATACACTTTCTAATAATCTCACGCTTACTAAATTGATACGATTGTAATTTTTACATTAATGGCATTTGGACTCTTTCAGAGGAGCTGCACAAGAGATGATTTTGGCCCAGTATTTTAAATGTAAAGCTCCATTTCCCTCCTTCCTGATCCTTAACAGCTAGTCAGGAAACATCCCAGCCTTTACTTTTGTACTCACTTTACTCATTAGGACCAAGCACTCCCTTTAGGCAATCCATTTTTTTCTATGGATGAACCGTATACAGATCAAGAACAATACATGGCTTATGTGCAAATTCCTTGTTTTATAGTTATTCATTTGCTACTTCTTTGTCCTTTGATTTTATTTACCACAAAAAAACCAATCAAGAATAAAAATACTTACCAGAAACAACCAGTTTTGTTCCTGTGCCAAAGTACTTGATCCAGGTGGAAGTATCACGGTGACTTTCTGTTTTACAAGAAGCTGTGGTACTGTATTGATGTCACTGTGTCATTGCTCAAATAATCAAGCTCCAACCAGTAGCTGGGAATATACTTCTAATGAGGTATTCTTGGTTTCTTTACTGTTTGGAGAATGTAACATATTTCACAGTTGTATGCCACCATAAAGCTGATTTTTTTTTCACCATGATGCTCTTCACATGTCATTGCAACTTTTATGTTAATGAATTCTCACACCTTAAAATGGAAACTAGATAACGGCTTTTATTTATTAATGGTATAAATAGACCCTTGGATCAGACCGTTCTCGAACATTTTCACTATGTGGTCCAAATAGAAATGAAAGACTATGCCATAGACTATAATATCCCATTCACAATATAACTGAATAGCTCCTCTTTCTCCATCTGCAATCATACACACATCCCTGGGGCAACTGTAGCAATTGCTTACATGGAAAAATAATATTGTACCTGGAAAGTATTTCATTCTTTAGCTATATTACTGACATTTAATAGATGGAAATTAGGAAGAACCAGTATTATGTGATCTGACAGCTCTCTGCAGATTAGCACAAAGAGCTCCATGAACTGCAGCTGGGAACCTACATCTGTGGGTATGTCTACACTACAAAGTTAGTTCGAACTAACGGACGTTAGTTCGAACTAACTTTCATAGGTGCTACACTAGCGCTCCATTAGTTCGAATTTAATTCAAACTAACGGAGCGCTTAGTTCGAACTAGGTAAACCTCATTCCATGAGGATTAAGCCTAGTTCGAACTAGATAGTTCGAATTAAGGGGTGTGTAGCCCCTTAATTCGAACTAGTGGGAGGCTAGCCCTCCCCAGGTTTCCCTGGTGGCCACTCTGGCCAACACCAGGGAAACTCGTCTGCCCCCCTCCCGGTCCCGGACCTCTTAAAGGGGCACGGGCTGGCTACGGTGCCCATGCCAGGTGCAAGCCTGCCAGCACCCAGCCAGCAGACCCTGCACCTGGCAC